TCTTGTTTAAAAGTTTCAAGAAGATGAATATTATTGAAATTTTCATTTATATTCAAACTCGAAATAGGCATCTATTGATTGATTTATCAGTAACGTTTTCAAAAAATGAATTGAACAACATCTTTTTATAAATTACACATATTATCTATGATTTTTAAGATATAGTGATAGTTTCTTCCTCATCCTGTGAATCACATCAGGTTTGAGCAATATAACTAAATTAATCTTAAGTTGTTATAGAATAGGGTTGATCATCGCTATTTACATATTCACAGATATTTTTTAGTTTAGATTGATTCTATTTACTATAATAGGGTTGCACATTAGTAGTAGCTACATGAAATCTGTTACAAAAGAAACTGTCATGAGTGTGTTGGATGTGAATGTTTGATTTATTTTCAGACATCCAAACTCTCAAGATTTGTTGAATGCCAGAAAAAAAGAATATTATTTTCCATTAAAATTTATAAGGCGAACAATTCTATTGATATTCGAACTCGACCGAGAACACGATGAAACAAAATTAACCAATTCTTGCCAATTATTTAAGAATCATTTCTTGATTGTTTTCATTTTATATAAGGATTATTTTTAAAATTTATTTTATTCTAAAGATAAATGATAATAAAAAGAAAAATATTAATATGAATAAAGTTTAAAATTGTTGACGAATGTTTTCTAATAATGATTCCAATTGTTTAGTGTCATTGTCAAGTAAATCAAGGAGACCTTTACGAGCTTTTTCTACTAAACCATACCACATTGTTGAGAACGTGATGTATCGGGTTTCAAGTATCACTATAATGATAGCTGTAATCAACATTTCTTCATTCACATTTGATGAAAAATTTAACAGAGATTTGCCAATAAATTTTTCAACATTGTCAGTAGTTAAATCCCATAAACCATTGAATTTTTGTTTCTTGATCAAGTAGCGAACAATATTTTCATCGTCTTTTGGCAATTCTTCATCTTTTTCATTGGTGCTAGTATTCATTTTAGGAGAAATATTTAAAAGGTCCATAGAGGGATAACGATTTCTCGCAAAAGGAACCTCCGAAGCACATATTAATGTTATACACTCATCCCTGTTGCATATTTGAAAAGAGTCATTTACAGTAGCCATCTGTATTGGTATTGACGTCTTACATCGTGGAGTCGAAGCAGTTGGCATCGCATTATTACCAAAGTTCCCAAAGGCAGATGTCTGTAGGTGTTGATCATCAATGGATATTTCAATGGGTATTTCGCGTAAGACCATACCAACATTGCTACCATTTATTCGTTTTTCAACACCGATAAAAGCCGTGTGTGGACTCAAAATTTTATATTTAACTGAAAGATCAATGATGCGTTTCTTTTTCATTTCTGTTTCATCAGTCAGAGTTTTGCTTGTTAACGATGACAAAAATTGTTTAAATCGAGATTGCAGGGAACCAGTATCGTTTTGCTTAAGTTTAGAATGTTGTAATTCGAGAATGAGTGCTTTAACAGCAAGTCGAGCTATTGTTCCATCATTGGCCATTTTTGGTATTGAATCAATATTTGCTTTGCCTAATTGACATTGATCAGTATACAGTTCAACATTTGAGTTATGATTCAAAACAAACTTTGGATCTTTCACAAGTGCATAAGCAATCAGACGGTCATTTGCATATACTGGTGGCATTTTTGTTGGTGCACTCATTATTGTAGTATCGAAATTCCATTTAACATGAATATCTGTGATAGAAGATTGTAAAGCCTTTTGTAATTGTTCACCAACATAAACATCGACACTACTTTTTGGTGGAATAAAAACAAAATGTCCATTTGTTGCTCGAGCAAGACCTTTTACAAGTGAACGACTTGGTGAATAACCCAAACCAAATGAAAATATTCGTGTATGTCTTACCATCAAACGACATAAATCAATTACTTCATTGACATTTGAGATTTCTCCATCGGTTAACAAAAATATTTGTCTTGCACGGCCTTGCTCTGGAGAATGTTGTTCTAACCATTGGAGAGGATATAACTAATATATAAAGAAATAATTAGTTTTCTAAGCTAAAACTCGCTAAATGAATAAAACTTACTAATTCAGTACCACCCAAATTGGCTTGCAAATTATTAATAAGTTGTTCCGCTTTTTGAGCATTTTCTTCATTGTAAATAGAAGTAATTTCCGTAAATAAAGCTTCAGAATTTGATCCAAATCGAATAATATTAAAATAACAATTAGACTCTTGAGGAAAAGTAATATAGCTTTTCGTGCTAATCCAATTTTATTTTCATCTCCCATTGATCCACTACAATCAACAACAAAAATAAATTCATTTTTTGTCTCTGTTTTGTTCATTGCACGTTGACAATCCTGTTTGGTTGGTGTAAATGAAACCATAACAGCACCTTGTTCGATCGCAACTATGGTATTCGAATGATTGTCAATTAATTCAATATCTATTAGAATATCTCGATCTAAATGAGTATTTGATTGAGCAAATTCAATAATATAGAGATTCTCTTGACTAACATCAATTTGAATCGGATGAGAACTTGAACTAATGTGAGAAACATTAACTTTTTCCACTTGACAATGAAATTCTATTGTATATAAAGCTGTTTGAACATATTTTGATGTAGTACCAGCAGGTGAACTAATACCACCTATATTTCGATTGTAACGAGGTGCGATAGTTGTTGGAACAACAAAACGAATTTTACTTCCATTTTGTACAAGATCCAATTCTGAAACATATGATATTGAAATGTGACATTCTTTTCCCGATGATAATGCACCAATATTAATTATAAAATTATCTTGAGATTTTTCATCTTGTTCAAGTAAATATGCACCATGACCTTGTCGAAGAGCATCCGTGTATTCTTGTTGGGCTTTCTTTTTCTCTTTTAATTGTGCAACAATTTCTCGATCATCAATTCGAGCAATAAATGAATAAATAGCTGCTTGTTCTTCAATTGGAAAACAATAAACAGCTTCAATTGGTTTGTCTTCATCATTGCGAAATATTTGTTTGATAGTCACATCAGCAGCAAACGATCTAATATATGATTCAACTCTTACATTTTTCAACGGAACATATTGATCGTCTGAATTCCGCATAGCAGAAGAAGAATCATTCTTTATTCGTAGCATCATGAAGAATAAAAATAATGTAAATATTGCTCGCTTATATACCCATTACTTGCTCTCTGCAAGCTATCAGTTTATATGTCAGAGGCGAGAGAGAGAACGCCAAGATAATTCATAGGAAAGAACATAACTTCGGAATATTACTAAAAAAATACCAGTGATAAGCACTATTCCTTAATAGGAGTGTCAGTTTTTTGTTATTGTTATTAATAACCATAACAAAAAAAGTTATTTGTTATTTGTTATTTTTTGTTATTAATAACAAATCAATTTTTTTTGTTATTGGTTATTGATAACAAAAAAAAGTAACAAATAATTTTGTTTTTCTCCGAAAAATCCTATTTATGCTTTGTAGCTACACAAAAATATACCAGTTCATTTTGCTGATTATTGTTCGATTGTTAGACAATGTTAGTGGCAACAATCTCAATATAATGGTATATGAAACTCAGAAAAATCCTAAAAATATTCTTTCAAATATCTTGCTCATCTACAGGCAAAATTTACTGATCGCTTTACGATGAACGATTCCTCAATGCTTGATTGCCTTTGACTTGATGCTTTGGTCAAATATAAACCTTTTTGAGATGAGAAAATGTCTAGAAAGATGGTACAAACTATAACTCGAAAAATGGTTCCTGAAATTTTATTTCGCAAAGACTTATATTTAACAAAACCTTAACATAAAAAACAATCGAGCGTTGAGAGATCATTCATCGTAAAGCGTAGTGACGTATCCAAAGGGGGACTAAAGGAGGCTCAGTCCCCTCTAGAAAGGTTTTTTGACTCCTTTAGTTTAACGAAATTATCTGTGATTGATGTATGAATAGGAGTTTACATATGATATATTCAAAATAGCAGCCATTTGTAACAGAAGGAAGTTCATATTTTCAAGAGATACTTCTTCAAAACATTGTGATGTACATTGTTGTTTACTTATTTTACTAGTTTTCCTCAGTTAATTCTATTTCTACAAAACGTCGGAAATTATTTGTTTCTATATTGTCAGATAGAGTATTTATTATTTTATCTAATGGTATAATTCTCATTTTTTTAAACAGATGTCTTAATTAAAAAATTGTAAGACTAGCTTAAAAATTTTTGCAAGCGTATAGTTGACTCAGGTTGAATTCGATTGTCGCAAAATTAACCTTATATGAAAGAAATTCTTCATACTTTATGTTGCATTAAGTATTGAAAGAAAATATTTTATATTCGAGGAGAAAAATAAAATTTTGTTATTGGAATTATAGACACATTGAACTAATCCATTTTCTATCCTGTTCATATTATCTTAAGACCCTCTCCCTCAAAAAAGTCACAGTTCGTTAGAATCATGGAAACTGAAATAAATATATAGGGATATAACCTGTCATTTACTCTTATAGAAACGATAAAAATTTTTCTTCGTTACTTTCTTTTTTCTCAAAAGTTATAAAGATATTTGACAACCTCTATCCGAAAAACCTGCGGTTTTAAAAAGAAATTCAATTTTGTTTTTCTTTTTTCTCAAAGGTGTAGTCGAACGACGCATCACCAAAAAAAGTCAACTATAATACGATATAAAGTCAAATATTTTTTATTGTTTGAAAGAATATGCCAAGAGGCAGAGCCTCTGAGGGCCCTTTTTTTTTTATAAACCTTTCTTACAATTACATTAGAAAGGGACTTTACAATATAAGCATTATTTCTTTGAAAGATTTTTGAGTGATTGATTTTGTAAGCCCTTTTTTTCTTATCAAAGATAAGAATAAATAAAAAATAAATGCGGAAACTTCGGATTTAAATCCGAGAGTTATGTGTACTCTAAAAAGTGAATTATACGAATCAATGATCCTAGACTGTCGAAAATATCAAAATTATACTGGCTAATCTATCATTTCAAATGTTGATTTCTATTGCGGGTTGACAAACCAATAGGATTCGAGACCAAATACAGCTCAGATTTAAACTCTTCCGTCTAACGTAGCCTCAGAAAGTCGTTTTCCTATAGCTTCATTTCTATTGATCACTGAACAACTAAGAGTATCGACATGAAAGTGCACTACACATTCGAATTCTCTATTTCTGAAAACCTCGGAGTATCATCACTATCATCGGAAGATTGAACTCTCTATCTGGATCAATTAGATCATCGACCAAAATCTAATCTAGTTTTATTTAATTATCCTTGTCATATGTAAGTCACCCCTCTTGTTTCTTTATGTTTTATATATCAGTTTGTAGCTCTTGAAAGTCTCTATTGAATGATATATAACAGTTGGGCTTTTGATTGACTATGATAGGAAAAGTCTTTTACGAAAGTCGCGATGGGTCCACTTTTCCACAGAAAGCTATAGGGAAAAATGACTATTTTCGCAATAACTCAGGAACGGCTCGGCCGATCCTTCTCATCTTCAAACTCGATTGAGATATTGTCAAGACTAAGCTGTGCAG